CCCCCCCCCCCCGTGGACGCCGGCCCCGACCGCCACCGAGAGGAGGAGGAGGAGGGGGCGGCGGGCCAGGCATGCAAGCGGGACCATTCGTCCCCCGGGGGCCGTGCGCGTCTGGGCCCCGCGCCGGGGCGCGCGCTCTCGGCCGGACGATCCCGAGCTTGGCCTGGGGGCAAGTTCTCGATGCATCATACCGCAATGTTGTTTTGTGGGTTTAATGTCCCTCGCCAAGGGGATAAATGCCCTGGATGAGGACGGGAGCCCATCGAGTGGCGCTTTGTCCGAGTGGTTAAGGAGCCAGCCTGCTAAGTTGGTGTGCTCTGCACGCGCGTGTTCGAATCACGCAGGCGTCAAATATCTTTTGCTCCCTCGTTTTTTCGTGCGCCTCTCCCGGGGAGCGGGGGCCACAACAAAAGAGGGCCTACAAGCAGCACCCCCCCTCGTTTTTTTTTTTTTTTTTCGCCGTACGCCCCCCTCCCTCTGACCGCCGCCCCCTGACACGGACGCGTCCCTGGCGCTGTCTCCTAGGTGCGGTTCTCCCTCGCGAACGGAACCCGGCGGCGCCTAGTCTCCCGCGCGGGGCCCGCCGCCCCGCCCCCCCCCCGCGAGCAGCCGGCGCCCCTCCGGTCCCTTCTTCGCGCCGCCATCCAGGAGGGGGGCGGGGAGGGCCGCAGAGTTGGCCCGGCCGAAATGCGCCTTCTCTTCTCCTTCTCGCGCGGCGCAAAAAGAATATGACGCCTGCGTGATTCGAACACGCGCGTGCAGAGCACACCAACTTAGCAGGCTGGCTCCTTAACCACTCGGACAAAGCGCCATTCGGATGAGGGGCGCTCATCAACAGCCGCACATATAGTTTCTCCTTTCCGAATGGCCCTGCCGCGGCTCGCTCCTTGTCCCCCCCCCCCTCTCGGCGGGCCTGTGTTACGAGAGGGCTGCGGCCCGGGGAAGTGGCGCGGGAGATTAATCAGTGTGCGTCTGGCAGTTTCGCGTTGTCGCCGCCGGCCCGGCTCCTCCCGAGTCCCTGGGGGCGGCGGGGGCGGCGGGGCCGCCGCGGGAAGCATGGGCGACTTCGCCTCAGGCCTCGGGGCGTTCTGCCTTGCTCGACCTCTCGCGGCACCGGCAACAAAAACAGGGCCACTTTCCCACGGTCTGCTAGTGGGCTGCCTTTTCCCACCCCCGCGTCTCGGGGACCCCTCGCGCACCCGACCACCGGGTCTCGGGCGTCGCGCTACCGGCCGGGGGCTGGGCATTTTCGCCTCGCGGAACACATGCCGGGCCGCCTGCCCGGCCCCAAACAGCGGCTGGGTGTGCTCGGCCCGCAGGCGCCGTGCAGGGTCCTGTGGGGCGCGTACAGGAGGACCGACCGTGCTTCTCCCCCCGCCCCCTCTCCCCCGTCCGCCGGCCCCGCGGTCAAGGGATTGGACGGGCATCCCCAGCCGGCAAGGGGTCATTTTCGCCTTGACCCCCGCCCGCGGGCGGTGCTTTTTACCTACGCCCCACGGACACTTTGGGCAGGGTTGGCGCACAGCTTCCGAGGGTCGAGCGGGAAATCGCCCCCCGGCAAGCCCCGGCCGCCCGATCCCACCTCCTTTGATGGGGGCAGGGGGAGGGCGTTTTCCGGGATCGGGCCACAAAATACAGCGGCCGCTTTGCCGGGTCGAGCGTGCTGGGGCCGACACCGGCGCGCTGGCCTTCTTTCTGCCGGTCCTCGCCCCCTGTTCGGGGAAGAGCCCTTCACGTGCGTGGCCCCGCCCCCGCCCCCGCCCCCCACTCTCGCCCCCGCTCGCTCTTCCCAGACGTCCCGATCGAACAGCCCCAGGGGCTGAGGCCGCGCGCTGTCGCGCAGACGCGCGCCTTGGCAGAGCCATGGGCCCTCCGCGCCCGGGCGTGAGCCTGTGCGCGCATTGCCGAGACACGGGGGATGTTTGCTGCGCGCGCGTGCGCTAGTTCACAGGAGGGCCCGTGGGCGGACCGGCATAGGTGGGTCTTCCTTGCGTCTCTGTGCTGCGGGCCTACACCAACAGAGACGGTTCGTGCGCAGCCCGTCCCCGGCCAGGCTGGGGGGGTGATCGCATTCCAGGCCCTGGGGGCGCTAACTCTCAGACAGAGGTCCAAGACACTCTGCCCACTGTGCCCTCCGGGTCGGCCGACCCCCGGGCCCGGCGGCACATTCGCCGAGTGTGTTGCACGCCCCGCCCCCCGGTGTCCTGGACACGCACGCACACACGCACCCCCCCCCCCCCCCCATCGTCAAATGCAGGCTCTCCAGCAGGGCAACCACGACGGCGCGCGCATTTACGCGCAGAATGCCATCCGCAAGCGCTCCGAGTCGCTGAACTACCTGAAGATGTCCTCGCGCCTGGATGCCGTGGCCTCGCGCGTGCAGACCGCCGTCACCATGAACGACGTTTCCCGGTCGATGGCCGGTGTGGTGACTCAGATGGACAAGGCCATGCAGTCCATGGATCTGGAGAAGATCCAGGCCATCATGCAGAAGTTTGAGCAGCAGTTCGACGACCTGGACGTCCGTGTGGACACCATGGAGGATGCCATGGGCAGCTCCACGGCCACCATGATCCCGGGCGAGCAGGTCGACACCCTGATCATGCAGGTGGCCGACGAGAATGGTGCGTTGTGTGGCGTCGCGTCGGCGGTGGCTCCTTTTTTTTTCCCGCTCGCTTCCTCGTCCGGTTCCCAGCTTCCTCCATCGTCGGTGACATTGACTGACTGATCCCCCCCCCCCCCCCCACTCACCCTTTCCCCAGGCCTCGAGGTCAACATGAGCATGGCCAATGCCCCCTTCGGAGTACCCGCCACCCAGGCCCAGACCTCGTCCAACCGCGAGCAGGACGAGCTTTCCCAGCGCCTGGCTCGCCTGCGCAACGAGTCTTAGGCGTGTGTCTGCTCGGACACACCTTTGCACATACATCAGCCTCTGCGGCCCCATGCCCGCGCGTGTGTACATTATTCAAGCCCCCATGGTTGGGACCCGCTGCTTGTTGCCAGGCCACCGGTTTGCCCCCTCTCCTTGGCCCCCTCCATGTGTATGTGCGTGTGCGTATGCGTACACGCCGACCCTGCCCTTGTTCCCGCCTCTCCCCCTCCTCTCCACACTGGGCAGAAGACGCGTATTTGTTGAGACCCAGAGAAATATACGAAAACCATACAACCAGCATCCCCGCAGCCTACCTGCCAACGGCCACCGGTCTTTGGCTGGTGGAAGGGCGTCTATTTGCCGGCCCCAGCTGGCCAGGGGCCCGGACCCAATGTGCCCTAGTGGCTCGTTTGCGCATCCAGAAGATCCAGACGCTCCAAGGGTGCGAAGATCCCGCCCGACCCGGGGCCCGGCGCGCCCCGCACGGCCCGCTCATACACAAGCCCCCGAGCAGCCAGCGAGGCAAGAGCGCTTCTGACCAGTGCCCGGGCCAGCCGGGTCCGCTCGCAGAGATCCTCCAGGGAGAGCTCCTCTGCGCATGAGTGGAGGCACACCGAACCAAGTGGGAGAGTCAGTGACAGGCAGAAGGGCAAGCCTCTGAGGGGACACTCGAAATGCCAGCAACCACGCACCGGCCTCGGCAAAGCAGCCAAAGATGTTGGCGTCATTGAATGACAAGGGCACACGCTCCAGGACCCGGTCTTCGAATTCGACACGCAGCACCACGGCCGCCGATTCGCCCACCGGGGCGTCCGGCAGCGGAGACCGGACCACCGCCCCGCCGGTCACCGCCACAGCCGGGATGGGCTGCTCATGGTCGCCAAGCCACCGGAGCCGACGCTGCTGGCCAGCCAGAGCAAAGAAAGCACGCTCAATCGGCTCCAAAGCCCTGAGCCACAGGTGTTAGGAGAATGCATCGCCAAGGGACTGAAATGCAGGACAGGGTTGTGTGTGGGGGGGGGGACAAGCAGCGCACTCTCGTAGCGGGCGGCAGAGGAGCATCTCTCCGGCAAAAAGCTCGTCGAGGTCATCCTCCTCTTCCTCCTCGGAGCCGCTGTCGGCAAAGGGATCCACATAGTCCATGGGGGGTGCCATCGAGCCGGCCGCGCTTGGCCGAGGAAGTGTGGTATCCACACGCGACACCCGCCCGGGCCAGAACCGGTGCGAAAGGACCAGCGGCTGGGCGGACACCAGAAGCGGACACAGCCCCGCGTGGGTGCGATGAAATGGTCAGTCGGTTGTCGGGCCCGAAAAAAAAAAACACGATCCGCCCGGCGCTCATGGATCGGGCACAAGGGAGGGGGGCGCACCCGTGAAGTTGCCCACTGCGGGCTCATGGCAGCCAGGCGCTCCCAGACACGCGCCGACTGCCGGGCATCGTGGAGCATGACATGGCACGAGTGCAGTGCACGCTCGGACAGCGGGATGACCGGCCCCTGGCCAAAGCGTCCCGGGCGCGATCCCGGCGCCGGCGCCCCATGCGATCGCTGGAACCCATAGATCAGCCCCCGGAGGTGGTGGTCGAAGTGTGTGGTGCCCGGGAAGTCCGGCGTCCTGGGTCGGACGGGCGGCAGGAGAGATTGCGCCAAAAAGGCTTGGACACTGGCCAGTTGGGCCTCGGCGAAGGCAACATCCGTGACCAGTGGTCGGTGGCAGGTGCTCACGCTGGTCGAGCTGGCGGCCTGCACCTCGGCCAGGGTGTGCGCCAAGGTCAAGCGAACGGCCCGGGCCAGGGTGACCGGGCCGCCGGCCAGCGCCACCGTCCGCCGGACCACATCCCGCAACACCTCCACCAAACCCGGGCACCGGAGGAAATCCCCGGCCAGGGTGTCGATCCCACCATCGGGCATCATGCCGCCAGTGGGCCGGGTCGCGGCGGCAAGGAGATGCTCGGCCAGCCGGGCCGGCCCGGCGGCAGCTGGGACGCCTGGAGGTCGGACACTCGGACCCGGCGCCGGCGGTGGGCAGCCCCCGAGGGCCACCTCGGCCAACTGACGCTCGACCACCGCCAACATGACGGGCGATTGGTGGTCCTCGGCCCAGAAGTCCTCATCGCTGTCGGAGTTGTCGTCGCCCTGCGGCCGACCGGAAAAGGCCCCAATCCGAGCAGGCAACGGAAGGTCGACACTCGCGCAGCCAAGCACCCCGGCGGCCACCGGACCGGGGCCAGGGCCAGCAGGACCGGCCGCCGGTGCATCGGCCTCTGCCATGCCCAACACCGAGGGCGACAGCGCCTCGAGGGCCAGGCTGAGGAAGGCGCTGAAGGCCTGCTCATCCAGGGCACTGGGTGCACTGGCCGCCAGGAAGAGCCGGCCAAGGTGCCGGGTGGCGGTGGGGTCGCCGGCGCGAACACCGTGCTCCACATGGCGAAGTAGCTCCCCCGCCAGGAGCATCGGCGCTGGGCCGAGTTCCGGGCGTGGGGTTTTGGCCGCCAAGAGGCCCGGCAGGGGGGCAGCCGACGCGGCCCCGGCCCCCCCGGGCCCGGGATTCGGACTGAGCGACTGCTCGCGGGCCCACAGCCACCCGGCATCGATGACGGCCCGCTGGAGGGGCCGATCAACCGCGGCCACGAGAGCCGTGGTGACAGCCATGGCGGTCAGCTGAAAAGACCGCGGATCCAGAGCATTGTCCAGCCGGAAGGTGCCGGGCGCTTGAGCGAAGGGCCCGGTCCGGAAGGATCGCAGCAGGAGCGCCGCCGCGCTGGCCGGAGCCCCGGCGTCTGTCGGCAGGAAGACCGGCTGCAGGAGGGCCACCGCCCAGGTCAGGTGAACGGCTCGGACGTGGGTTTCCATCAATGCACGGGCCGATTCCACCGGCACTTCCATCAAATGGGAGATGCTGCGAGTTTGATCAGTCATCGGGCTTTGGGAGGCGGGGCGAGGAAGTGGGTGGCCCACAAAAGGGGCATCCCCCAAGCACGCACCTATCGCCCAGCGCCACGGCACACAGGGCCGCGGCTCGGCGACACGCCTCAAACCACAGGGTACACCAGGTGTCTGGCGAAATGGCAGCCGGGATGGCCGACCGGAGGAAGCCCATCGCCCGGCAGGCATCCGCATGCGACGTGGATGACAACCCCTCAAAAGTGGCGCTGGGAGCATGGCACAGCCGGCCGAGGGCCACCTCGGCCGCGGCGATGTCCAGCAGTGCCCGTCGGACTGAGGCGCACGGCCACCGTCGACTCAGCTCAAGGATGCGGTCCAAGCTGCACGCGCCATTTCCCCATCATGCAAAGAGGCCGTCAGCAAAAACTGCACGATGTCTCGGTGTGTAAGAAGACCGGCAGGCGGAGGCACGCACAAGTGATCTTGAAAGGTGGCCCACGCATGTGCCGCTAGTCGGAAGGACAAGCAACTGACCCGGGTGAAGTCTATGTGCGCCAAATGCCACCGTGAGGGGGAGGCCGGGGAAATGGGGCGGCAGATCAGCATCCGCCCAGGGGGCGAGCGAGGGGAGAAGCAAAAGACTCGGGCCGGCTTTCGCGCCGGTCGACGCACATGGCGAAGTGATGCCACCCTCACTGGCAATGACCGACAGGAAGAGGGCGGCATCTGTCAGGCTGGCCGGCGGTAGGTCCCCAAAGAGAAGCAGTTCCTCCAGCCAGAGGCTCAGCGGGCCACCCAGCCAGTCCGCCAAGGATACCGATGCAGGGAGACCCTGTGGGGAAGGGCCCAGGGCAGTGCTGACCGCATGGCCAACCACCTGGCCGACAGCCAGCTCGGCCACGCCGTGAACAATACTGGCGTATTCATCAGGCGGTGAGACACATGGACAGGGAGAGAAGGAGGGGGAGAGAAGCATGCAGAATAGCCGATCCCCGGAGGGGAATAATAGGGCGGGGGACACACGCACTTCATCGAGTAACTCAGCATGCCAGACAGCTTCAGGGCCCAGGCGGTGGCCTGGCGATCAGGCACCGGGACCAGTGCTGCCTCGGTGTGGTCGCCCAGGCGCCGAAGGAGGAAGCGCGCGAGACACACCCAGATGGGGTCGCCCCCGGGGGCGGCATGTCCCAGGAGGACGGTGCGCAGGAGGCGCTCCCTGGCAGCCGCCTGCTCCGCGACCAGGGTCGCCAGTAGGAGATCACACTGGCGCAGAGGCGGCCATAGACCGGCGGGGGCCGCCAGGTCGCCATCGGACGAGCCTGCCTTCAGGGCCTCATCGCTGGGGTCCTCTTCGGGGCTGTCATGGCCGGGGTCCTCATCATCGCTGTCTGGCAGGGCATCCTCCTGCTGCATGTCCAGGATGCATGCGCGCGCCCGGGCGATGAGAGCCGCCAGCGGGCCGTAGATGGCCTGCTGCAGGGCACCATAGCGCCGGATCAGGTCTGCCACTTCCAAGAGAAACGGCGTGTCAGGGTCCGGAGGGGCGCCCAAAACCAGGGCAGCGGGAACACCACTGGCGGCCCCGACGCGGTCGAGGGCAAGCGCAGCGGCTTGTGACACGCCGGCGCCGGCGCCGACGATGTCAGCCATCGAGCCGCTGGACAACTCGTCCAGCCACTCTCCAGGGGCTCGGTGGCGTGTGCCCGACAGGAGGTCCAGCAGCCACTCTGGCGGGGTGTCTTGAAGGACTGCCCGGATGCCATCCACCTCGAGCGGCTGCTCGATCGGACTGGCCACCACCCGCGGCAAAACTGCCCCCTGCAACAGGAGATCCAGCGTGGCTGAGCAAAGAACCACAGGGTGATCGTTAGTCAGGCCAGGCACCGGGCTTGCTGCTTGAAAAAGTGGGAGGACGCACACTTGGCCACGGCCGTCCACCGACCAAGGGTCAGGAGGTAATCCGCGAAGACGGCCGCCGGCTCGCCGAAGCCCGGCGCGGCCGCTTCCGATAGGGTTGCATGCCACCGCTCGGTGAGGTGATCTGTGAGCACGTGCGACGGGTGTGTGTGTGTGTGTGTGTGTGGTTTTGTGTGACAGTTTCAGAGGCAGATGTGTCAGAGCTCAACAGGGCAAGAAGATGGCAACCATATGTGTGCATCTGCAATGGGTGTCGGCGCGTGTAGACGGGCCGACGTGTGTCTCAGCACGCCGGGAGACGCGAGACCCGCCGTACCGAGGGAATGCTTCTCGACCAACGAGGGCACGGGGAGGTAGGCATCAGGCTGGCCACATGGAAGGGCCGTCGATTGCCAGGCAGCGCGCGACGGGTCATACAGGGCCACCAGGTGCCCGAGATCTGCCGGGGTGGTGGTCTGAAGGTGCTGTGCCAGGACGCCCAGGAGCTGCTCGGCCACCACGGCCGCATGCCCGGCCGACAGGGCACTCTCCGCGCCGAAAGGCGCCACCGGCCCGGTGTCTACGCCGTAGCGGGGGGACGAGCCCCACGCGCGTGCATCGACCGAAAACATGCCAGGCGACGGGCCAAGGCGCAAACAAAGCAGGGAGTTGGAATCAAACGGGCCGAAGGTGACAATAAGGGCGGAGAAGGAGGAAATACAGTGCCGGCTTGCTCGAGGAGCGGCGTGGGTCGCCTCCTCTCAACGGCCGCCCCTGTGCGCGATCTAGCAACACCTTGGCCATCCAGCCACAACCAGCCGGGGGGGGGTGGGGGGAAATATTTCAGAAACCCAGGAAAAAGCTCCTGCCAACGGACGGCGCTAACTGTCTGCGCCCCTTCGCGGGCGCCAGAGGGGGGAGAGAGGACGGAAGGGGGGGGGTCGTGTGTATTTTTTTTTTTTTTTTGCAGGCGCGCAGGCAACGCGAGCAAAGGAAGCAGATGAAAGAAGACACAACTCCGAGCTCCGCGGTCAGCCGGAGGAACCGGACGGCGGAGCCCCGGCCGAGCCCGATGCGCCAGCCGCGCCGCTCTGATCGTTGAGCTTAAAGAGACTGCGCAGACCAGGGGTGGCCGAGATGTCCGGCAGGGCGAAGGTGTCTCGGTCAAAGGTGAACCGCGAGTACCGCGATGTGGTGGACGACGGCTCCTCAGCTGGGGGGGTCAAGTGTTTGTCGGCAAAAAAAAAAAGGGGGGAGGGACAGCGGGCGGCCAGTGGGGGGGGGGGGACAGAGAGGAAGCCGGGCGAAACAAAAAATCAGCGGAGACGCACAGGCTGGAGGAGCGGAAGCCGAGGCTCCGGCGGCGGCGGCCGGGGCGCCACCCGAGCCGGCGGCGGGAGTCCCCGAGCCGGTGGCCGCCGGTGTGGCCGGAGTGCCAGACCCCGGACGCACGGGCCCCTTGGCCCCGGACTCGGCCTGCGCTGAGGCGCCAGACCCGGAGGAGGCCGACGACGAGGCGGATGCCGAGGCCGGAGGTGGAGCCGGTGTACTTGTGGCGCCGCCAGCAGTGGTGGCGGAAGTGGCAGCACCAGAAGCAGCACCGCCAGTGCTGGCTGCTCCGGACCCGGCGCCCGACCCGAAGGTGGAGGTGATGCCGAGTGTGGGCGAGAGGGAAGTCGGCAAACCGACGCCCGTGACCGACAGCGAGGGCAGCGATGAGAGCAACGACGTGGGCAGCAGATTGCCCGTCAGTCGAGAGCTGAGACCGGCGCCGGTGGCAGCGCCGGCCGCCGGCGCCGTGCCGCCTCGCTCGCCGGACGGCGTGTCCGGCAGCCGGCGGTTGAAGATATCCAACAGTGCCTGGACCTCGCGCGCGCGAGTGGACAGCCCCTTGATTTCGACGATCTGTGTGAAGCGCGACACGTCGGTGTCCGCGTACAGGATCAAGTAGTTGTCCACGAAGGCGTCATGCGGCTCGATCGGCAGGCGGACCATCTTCAACAGGACCTCGGCCTTGGAGAAGCCGGTGTTCAGCATCTTGGTGTATCTGCGCGCAGTAGATGTGGCCGGGCAGGGGGATGGGGCAATGGTCAGCCATGGGCAGGGGGAATACGATGAACGAGATAAAGGGAGAGAGGTGGCCTGATATGGATGAAAAGGAAACCAGGCAAGGCAGCGGCGTCGGTGAAACGCACGAAGTAGGAATTTTAATCATGGTAGCGTCCGACCCGGAATGGGTCACGGCCTTGGCAAAACCGAAGTCCTGGTCGCTGTAAGAGAAGGCCGAGGTGGGCGAAGCAGACACGAAGTTGGGGAACTCGCGAAGGCGAATCTTCAGCGAAGCCACGTCCACGAGCATCTGCTCGGCGCCCACATCGCTGATGGGCCGGCAACGATAGATCGTGTCGTGGAAGCGAGCCGTGAAGGATCTTTTGCGGCGCGCGCATGGGTGTGTAAGTGAGCGAGTGAGCGAGTGAGCGAGTGAGTGAGTGAGTGAGTGAGTGAGTGAGTGAGTGAGTGAGTGAGTGAGTGAGTGAGTGAGTGAGTGAGGGGTGAGGGGTGAGGGGTGAGGGGTGAGGGGTGAGGGAAGAAGGGAGTAGGAGCCAGGCAGAGGGAGAGAGAGAAAGCGGAACCCCTCCAAGGACGAAGGAAAGGTCACGGAGGAAGACGCACTCGGCAAACTTGTGGAAGAACCGTCGGTAATACTTCTGAGCCATGGTGTGCTGGCGAACCATTTGCACTCGCTCGCTGAGGATGTTGATGAGGTGACCAACATAAGCATGCTCGTCACCGGTCACCTAGAGGAACGTGGGGCCAGGCCGAGGAACAAGGGCAAACAGATAACGAGTAAATATCGACGACACCCGGTGAGGGAGGCAGGAGGTCGCATAAAAAGGAAAGGGAGGAACCAGGGGGCGCGTGCTCCCGAGCATGTCCGCACCTCGAGCTGGTCCCAGCGAATGGAGGTCATCTCCACGAAAGCCGGGTCGCAGGCGGCAATCATGTTCTCCACCAACTGCGCCTCACACGCTGCAAGAAGCCTGGGTAAAGGGAAGGAGAGAGGGTGGAAAGCGAGTGCCAAAGACATGGGAAGTCAGCGTAAGCCAAAACCCAAACAGGGAGCAGGGTGGGCGGGGAAGGACGGGGGGGGGGGGGGGGGACCACAGGAAGCGTACTTCTGGAAGACGTTGCTTTTGAGGACCGAGAAGGACATCTTCTCCTTCAGAGTCGTGTGAATGGACTTCTTCAGCAGCTTCTCGAGCTGGGGAAATGCGGCGGAAGAGGCCGAAAAGTCAGTGTTGGCCAATATGCGGGGAACAAACAAGCGGCGGAAAGCGAGGGGGGGGGGGGGGGGGGGGAGTGGTAAGACCCCAGGTACTGGGCAGGTGCGCACTTGGATCGAGGTATCGTGGCAGTAGTCTGCCGTGTTGAGGATCATTGCCAGAGTCCGGAAGGAGGCCGGGTTGAGGTGGGCCTGCGAGGGGCGTTGGACGGGGCCCACGCCGGCGACGCTGTGTCAGGGAGCACCGAGTCAAAGTCGGCATGCAGGCATGGATACATGGGAAAACAGGGTGGCCAGAGTTGTCAGAGGATGTCAGTGTCTCTGGCGCCGGAGATGAGTGGGGCGCAGGAGGGAGAGAGAGAGAGAGGGAGAGAGAGAGAGAAGTCTCTGTCCCCTGCCATCCAAATGGCCAAAGCGGACAACACGTACGCCATGCGCGACTGGGTGGCCTTGGCCGGGACGGGGACGCCCTCGCGCAGCCACTGGGCATACTCCTCCAGGAAGGAATCGAAGGACTTGGCCAGACTCAGCAAAGTCTGCCGGTTGCTGAGCTTCACGCAGCGGTTGAGCGACATCTTGAAGAGAGAGAACAGTCCGGAGGCTGAGGACAGAACCTGCAGACGCAGGCTCGGCTGATTGGATCCCTGCGCGGGGGCCGGCACCAGGGGCGAGCTCTTGCATTGGGACAGATACCGGCGGAACTCCCTAGCACCGTGCGGTGTGCCCCGTCCCACCGAGGGCGAGGGGGGAGAGATTATGGGTGGTCAGTATCTCGAGAGGAGGACACGGAGAGAGAGAGAGAGAGAGAGGGAGGGAGAGAGGGAGGGAGAGATAACAGGAGAGGAGGACAGGAAAAAGGCCACATCTCCCGCCGCGTAGGGACGCACTTCTCCTCCGCCTTGATGTACAGATGCATGTACGGCTCGAAGCACTGGGAGATGAGCCCAGTGAACTCATTGGCGTCATCCTTGGCGGAGGTCGCCGCGTCGCGGTCCTTGCGCCCGGCGGAGCGCGACTTGGCTGGCGAAGAGCCACCCTCCGGCGCGTCGGCGTCCGAATCGTCGGACATCTCGGCCCCGGACTCGCCATCCGTGGCCGGATCCTCATCCTCGGACGGATCCTCGGCCATGGCAGCTGCGCCGCCATCGGCCGACTTGAACAGCCGGTTGAGAGCCCCTTCAAACTCGACGGTCCGCTGGAGCGACTGCAGCAGGGCTGTCACTTCCAGGTCGTCCATCATCTTCAAGACCGACTCGAGGTCGCGCCTATGTGTCGGCGGGGAGAGGATGAAGGGTCCAGGGTGGTGGGTGAAGGATGGAGAGTGGAGGATGAATGGTCCAGGATGGATGATGAAGGATGAGGAGAGACCAGAGGAGAGACCAGAGGAGAGACCAGAGGAGAGACCAGAGGAGAGACCAGAGGAGAGACCAAAGAAAACAGGGCACAAAGTCAGGACACGCCATCAACAACGCCGCATGGACACCGGGCCGAACCCCGGTGTAGGAAACATAGAACGGACCGGGTGACGATGCAGAACTCCTTGCAAAAGGCCTTGACGACGTTCCAGTCCGCAGGGAAGATGCTGTTGATGTTGGCCGAGCGCGAGGCCACCGCTCGGCGGAGCCACAGGTACCGCCGGGACACGTTGGCAAGCGAGCCATTTTCCGTGCCGAAGTACTCGCGCTTGTAATGGCGCAACTGCAACTCACAATACGACTGAATGATGGACTTCCTGCGAGTGGGCACACCAGCAGGGGATAGAACGCCAGGGGAAGCAGCGTGAATAAGAAGCGAAGCGCCGCCGGATATGACGGAAGAAGGAGACGCAAAGGACGGGGAGAGAGAGAGAGAGAGAGAGAGAGAGAGAGAGACAGATAGGCAAGGGGGAGATAACTTTGCGAGAGTCGAAACACGCACTTGACATCGGCATCCAGGAGCGACGCCACATCGCAAGCGCTCTTGAGCATGGCCACATCGGCAGTCGGCTGGCCCTGCTCGTTGAAGCTGATGGTGGAAAGGTGGACGGGCCAGGAGAGAAGGAGATAGAAAGAAAGAAAGAAAGAGCCATCAGAATGAGCTGGGGACGAGGAAGAGAGGAGAAAAGAGAAAGCCGCAAAGGCAAACACACACCCTCGGCTCAGGTCATCGCGGATGTACCGGCCCAGGTCACTCTGGGCAATGGCCGCCACATCGACACAGTTGACCACCACTCGCACATGACGATACGGCTTGAACAATGCCACCAGCTGTCGGACACCGGCCAGCACGCTGGTGACCTCCTGGTAGTCGCGCCGCTGGGTGGCCGTGCGGAGCTTCTCCACCGAGGCCGACAGGAGGGACAGGCGCCGCAAGGCTCCGACCGCCTGGGTGAGGTTCCGCCGGGCCGAGTCGAAGCGACGCACGTCGCCGGTGATGGCCCCGACCAGGTCGTCGGACGCGGCTGCCGCCTTCTTGATGGAGTCGATGCGCTGAGTGAGCTCCTGCAAGGAGTGAAAGCCAAATGCACATGACACCCCGGTGGCGAGTGGCAGACGAGGAGGAAGAGAAGGCGAAGGAAGAAGAGCAAGAGGATGAGGATCGTCAGCAGGCGCCCAACCAGGCAGAGAGATGCAAGAGGAGCATGTCAAGGGCGGAAGGAGAACGGGTACGGACAATGATGGACTGCCGGGCGGCCTCGAGCTCGCGCTTGCCCGCCTCGCCGGCGTCCGTCTGACTGCGGACCACCTCGCGGATCTCCGAGTCCAGGCGGTTCACCTGGAACTGCAGATCAGTCAAGACCTTGTCCACCTTGTTGCTGAGTGCCTCCTCTGGATCCGGGAGGAGGGGGCAGCGAGGGCCGAGCAACATCCGTTCACGCACGCACATACACACACACAAACACACACCAACACGCATGAGAAAGAGAGAAGAGGGGCGGATGGAGACAGACCGAAAGTCAGTGGCTATGGCAAGGGGAACGGGCGTGGGAGAAGGGAGGAGAGAGAGAGAGAGAGCGGAAGAGAGAAAGACCACGCACCGTTCGGGAAAACCCGGTTGATGTAGATCCGCGGGGAGAAGTCCGGCAAGTCGAAGGGATCTTGGGGCTCGGCCGCCTCGGCCGGAGCGCCACCCGCGGCGCCCTTGTCCCCCCCGGCCCCGGTGGGGTTTGAGGGGTTGCCCCCGGGCCGGATGTTGGCCAGAAGCGGCGAACGCCCTGGGCCGGAAGAGTGCAGTGAGGGGAAGCTCAGCCAGCTGGTCGGAGAGGAGGTGGACGAAGGGGACCCGGCCGACAGCGGCGAGGCCGTCAGCGATGAGGACACCGAGGACGAGGAGAAGCTCGTGCGCTTGGGCCCGGTGCCGCTGCCGCCGCCGCCGCCGCCGCCGCCGCCGCTGCCAGCGGCAGCCATCTGCGGGGAGTCCTTGGAGTCTGTCGCGGGGGACATGCCAGCAGACGCGGCAAACTCCGCATCGCGGCTCGCGTGAAAGGGGCTATCCTCGGTGGGGGCGCCAAGGACTTTGAAGATGCTCCGGTCTCCCCGGCCCTTGGCGGGCGAGGCAGCAGAGTCCGGGCCAGACATCGGGCGGACGAAGAGGCAGGGGGGAGAGGGGAAGGGGAGGGAGACCG